TTATTTCTCACATACATACAGAGAAACACACAAAAGTACAGAAAGACACAGCTATTCTTCCTTTGAAGAACAGATCTAACTCCTTCAGAAGCTTCCACGATTAGAAAGGGATGAAAAGGCACCACTAGAACTGTCACCACAAGACATTTAACTCTTTTTCCTCCAAGCTTGATATGTATGACTACAGAAAGGGCTGTTTCAGGGATGGAGAAAGGAAGAATCCCAGACTGGTTTGGGTTGGAAGGGACCTTAAAGATCATCCAGATCCAAACCCCTGCCAAGGGCAGGGACACCTTCCACTAGACCATGTCCCTCTTGTGCTGTTGCCCCAGAGCTAGATCAGGACTATGGGGGGTCAGTCCCCCAGAGCACAGCAGAGGGGGAGAATCCCCTCCCTCGACCTGCTCCTCATGCTCCATGATCCTGCTGGGTACTGAAGTAAGACCGACTGGCCTGGAGTTCCTGGATCTTCCTTTTTCCCTTTTTAAACATGGAGGTCACATTTCCCCTTTTCCAGTCAGTGGGAACATCTCCAGACTGCCACAGCTTCTCAAATATGATGGATATTGGCTTGGCCACTTCATCTACCACTTCCCTCAGAACCCATGGATGCATCTCATCGGGTCCCATCGTCGTGTGCATCTTCAGGTTCCTTTGATGGTCTTGAACCAGATCTTCTACAGCAAAAGGTTCTTTATTCTCCCAGTCCCTGCCTTTGCCTTCTGTGACTTAGGCAATGTCATTGGAGCAACGGGCTTCAGTTTTGCTAACCTGATCCTTGTCTGCTCAGACAATACTTCCCCGTGTTCCTTCCAGGCTACCTGTCCTGTCTTCCTCTGCAGGCTTCCTTTTGGTGCTGGAGTTTGTCCAGGAGCTGCCAGTTCCTCCACACAGGCCTTTTGGCTTTCTTGCCTGACTTCCTCTTTGTCAGGACGCATCCCTCATATTCAAGCCTCCAGATATACCCAAGAATATTAAGTTCAGTGACTCGTGGCAAATGTACACAGGCCAATATAAACCCAAATATCTGAGTACAGCCACAGGGAAACCAAGACATTAGGAAATTAACAGGAAATAAGGGGATAAGATTTTAAACCACCACTAGCACAGGTAAATAGCTCTCTGGAGCTCATAAAGCCAAGAATTCCTTAAGAAGGGAGTTTTAAGTCGCACAGGGATGTGACTGTCACCAGTGTTACACCAGCCTCATGTCACCTAGGAACCACCTGCAGCTCTCCAGTTATCTAATAAGACACACCACACTGTTCAGCAGTGCATGTACCAGTATCATTACACAACAGTAAAGTTCATTAGTGGTTTCCAAACAGTTACATTTCCCAAGTTATTACATTGAGCTTATCAGTGGTTTCAATATTAAAAAGAAAATCTCAGTTCCTGATTAAAAAAAAACCCAAATGTTAAACTCATTCTAATTTTAAAATCTTATGCAATGCAGAAATGCCACCAGAAAGAGACAACAGGGACTTATTTTGCTTTCTGTACATATTAATGCCCTTCAGACTCGCTCACCAATAAAAGCTGCAGCATAAACCCACGTGATGAAAGAATATTTCTGTTGCAGTGCCCCAGCATTCAGTTCTGCCCACTCCATCTAAAATATCAATGTATTAAGAAGTAGAGGTGTTCCTATGCAAGGTAGAATTGAGAATGTCATTAAGATTTGTATATATACCATTAGTGCTGCAAGCTACCCCAACACAGGTGATGCGAACACTAACTAATGTGACCCAGAAATCAGAATTCCTTCAACTTGGGGCATTAGGTGTGATGAAAATCACTTGCTAAAACAAGATCAAAGGCAGCAAGAAGCATACTTCTCCCCCAATAGCTCTATGTAATCCCTCAGCACAGAGCTCTCTCTGCCTTTTCAGTAAAGATTAGCATATTTAAAACTGCTAAAGTCTGTATAATCTTCAATCATTGAGAAAAGTAATTCAATTAAGGTAAGCACTAGTGAAGTTGCCTTCTTTCTAGCCACCCAATGCTATATCCTTGTACTACAAGGAAAAGAATAGGAGAAAGAAAGAAAGAGAAGCTGCTTCTTCCAGCTGGACACAGATTATGTTGCAGGCTCATGATGAATCCACAGTACATGCGGCAAGTACCCAGGCTAGGCTGGGGAGGGGCATGGGGGACACAACCACTGGACTGCTATGGAGAGGCAATGACTTGCAGTAAATCCTGAAAGGAGCCCTGAGTGATGGGATGTCATTTTGGCAACACACCCCGCCACTGGGACCGATGGACCAGCATGGATGGGCAGGACCCACGGACAGAGCTGCAGCACAGAGCGCTCGAGGAGTTGGTGCAATAAATAACAGGCAAACAAGGTAACAGCCACAGGAGACAGGATTTTGGGGATGAGGGTGCAAGGGAAGAAGGAGCTTTAAGTAAACATAATCAGCATTTTAGCATAGGAAAGAGAATCTGCAGCTGGTGATGAGGAAGGATCACTGCAGTCCGCACGAACGCCTCGGTATATACAGCACTGAACTCCCACAATATGGCTGAGGATACCAGCAAAAATCAGCCACTGCAGCCTCTGTGCAATCCCCCTTTCCTGCAGGAATAAGTCACCTAGAGATGCTTCCAGATCTCCCAGGGAATGACACTCACACCACTGCATGGAAGAGCCTGCATAGTAACCAACTCCACTTAAGAATCTGCTAGCCATCACATGCATGGTTATTGAAGGAACAGCAGAGAAGGTGTGGGATTAGGCAGCTCTGGTTGCTGAGGCAGCTAAATCAACATCGGAGCCCTTCATAACGTTTCATTTGTCATTGTGAAGTCCCTGAATGGAAATGAAGCAGCAGCCTCCCCACCAGCAGCACTAGGGCATCTTTAATTAGGGCCTTCCAACAGGGCAGGCAACCCTATAGCCAAACAGGAAGCGAATGCAGCAATCCAGTGCAACAGTTGTACAAAGAGATCTTCTCCTTTCTGAAAGCTCTTATTTCTACATTTCCCTTAACCTTCCAAACAAAGAGTGCCAAAGGGAGCTGTGTGTAAGCAAAGATCACTCAAACTCCCTTTGCAGCAGCAGAGAATTAGCCCCATCATACAGAAGAACATTATGAGGGCATTTATTCTTCCAGGAGCCATTTGTAATGGGAGGTATTCACCCTCTGGACAGTAAAAAAATCGCAGAGAATGACATCATGACAGCAAGATATGAAGAAATTCGAACTAAATTCGGGGGGGGAAGCTGGTTCTCCATCAGAGACAGGAATCAGAACCTGCTCGTGCTGCAGCACCCATGGGCTGCATGGACACTGCCATCGGCATCACCACACTGAGCACGGCTCAGTCACGGAGTCATCGCCCAGGGTTTGAGACAAAGGCAGGGCTGAAGCTCACACCGCAGCTGCCAGCAGGGCCCTAACCAGCCACATTCAAATCAGCTCAAACCCATCCACAAGCCATGCTCAAGACAGCAGTTGCAGCACTACATGTATTTAGTTAGAAGCATTTTTCTCTGCTATAGCCATAAAACCCCTTCTCCCTACCCCAGATTTGATGCTATGAACAGACTTACTTCAAACCTTCCAGTATAAACACAGATGTTTAGCCAAGAGGGCAAAATAACCCAAACACAAAGACTTGGAGGAAGCAGATATCTGATGTTATGTCTGCTAGAACAGATAGACACGTGTAAACTATGAGCTGCTGAGGTTTAAGATCTGCACCAAGTGCTACAGCCTTCCATGGAGATAGCTGAAAAAGTTCATGAAATCAAAGCTCAGGAACAGAGTAAAACAAGCCAAGCATTTTGCAAATGCATTGGTAATACTTATTATTGAATACCTTCGGGATAAAATAAAACCAAGCAGCATCTTCTACACATGCCCCTTTTCCAAAACCCTCATAAAATGGCTGGCCAAACAGCACCTCACCAAGCAGATAAGGTGACGTAGCCAAGGAATATATATATATATATCTCTCCAAGATATCCAAGTTGAACTTGCACTCTCTGAATCCATAATACGAAAAGGAGCTGTTCAATTGCAAAAATAAAATGAAATCAAATAAAACCAATGAAAGGAACAACCAATAGATAGGTAAATAATTTTAATAGCAGCCTTATCACTAAGCTCATCTCTAGATGAGTACAAAAACACCAAGAGAGAAGTCATTTAGGGGAGAAGGAATAAATAGACTAGGATTTCATCATCTCCTACCACACAGAGACCAAAGGTGGCTGAGGGAGCAAATACCCCACCCTGAGACAGGCAGTATTCTGCACCTACTCATTATGTCAAAGATCGCCCGGGATCTGGGCAGGATTACACAAAGCATCTGACAAACGAGCTATTCTTTCCTCAGGAAATTCTCCAGGGTGAAAGGTTTGAAAAGCAGAACCGAAGAGAGAGGCCTTGTGTTGAGGGAGGAGGAGAAACCGCTCGGGTTTTGTTGTTCTTTCTAACTGAAAAGCCAAGATGAAGAAAACCTCATCGGCTGAAATCAGTATTTCACGCGGTGCTTTGCCAAGCCGTAACTTCACGTACGAAAAATGCTGTATTTACAAGCGAAAAAAAATGGAGCAGGAATTGCGACTCCTACCCCCCAAAATAAACCCAGAGGAGCTGATATTAAATGAATCAGCAGCTGTTTCTGGAGACGTGGCCGTGGACTTCGGGATGCTTTTACTTTAAAGCACAGCTCGATCTCTCCCTGCCACCACAGGGGCACTGACCACAGGGCAGCGCAGCCCTGCAAGGGGGTGAGGAACGCCCCACGGCAGCCCCATCACCACACGGAAAGCGACGGGGAGCGGCCGGGAGCCCCCCTTTTCCCCCATAAACGACACAGCCACCTCCTTTTCCCCTCATAAAGTGGGTTACGGCAGAGCCACCACCTCGGGAGGGTGAGAGGGGAGGGGTGTCTCCTTCAGGCGGGTGGGTCCGCCGCGGCGGTCGAAGGGGGTGGACCGGAGGTGTGCGGAGACCCGGCCCGAGCGGTGCCGGGCAGTGACTCACCGCTCTGCTCGCCCAGGAACACCAGCTTGAATTTCCGCAGCGGGTTGCCGAAGTCCCCGCCCGCCGACATGATGGAGGAGCCTCCACCGCCGCCCCGCGCTCGCTCCGCTCCCCGCGGCGGGACCCGCGAACCGCTCTCAGTCGTTTGCTTTCCGCCGCCTCACCCCGTTCCCCGGTGAAGGCTGCGGTGCAGGGCTGACGAGGGGCGCGGAGCCCCGGCGCGGTGAGCAAAGGCCGGGGGTGAACTACAACGGAGTCCGCCGCTCCCCTCAGGGCCGAGCTCCTTCCCACCGCGCCCGCGCACGCCGCGGCCCCGCCCCTCGCCAGGCACGTAGCGCTGCGTGCCACTGAGCCACGCCTACCGCAGCTCTACGGACCAATCAGAGGGAAAGGGGCGGAGCTATGGGGGAAAGGGCGGGATTTGCCGCCCGCTGCGTCTGAGCCGAGGGTGCGATCACTCTGGAGCCCAATGATGGGTGCTAGGGTTTGATGGGTGCTGGGGTGAACTGCTCGCTGAAACCGCTGAGCTGGGGAAAGGCAGATGCACACGCTCTGCTCGCAGTATGTGCAGCTCCCATGGGGCTGGAGCGCCTCCTGTATGAAGACATAAAATTGGGGCTGTTCAGCTTGGAGAAGAGAAGCTGCCTGGAGACCTCAGAGCAGCTGGAGAGGGACTCTTCATCAGGGCCTGTAGGGCTGGAAGAGACCTTAATGCTCCTCCATTCCCAACCCCTGCCACGGGCAGGGACCCCTTCCACTGGAGCAGCTTGCTCCAAGCCCCTGTGTCCAACCTGGCCTTGAGCACTGCCAGGGATGGGGCAGCCACAGCTTCTCTGGGCACCCTGTGCCAGCGCCTCAGCACCCTCACAGGGAAGAGCTTCTGCCTAAGAGCTCAGCTCAGTCTCCCCTCGGGCAGGTTCAAGCCATTCCCCTTGGCCTGTCCCTACAGGCCCTTGTCCCAAGCCCCTCTCCAGCTTTCCTGCAGCCCCTTTAGGCACTGGAGCTGCTCTAAGGTCTCCCCTTCAGGAGCCTTCTCTTCTCCAGGCTGACCCAGCCCAGCTCTCTCAGCCTGGCTCCAGAGCAGAGCTGCTCCAGCCCTCACAGCATCTCTGTGCCCTCCTCTGGCCTCGCTCCAGCAGCTCCACATCCCTCTTGTGCTGCTGCCCCAGAGCTGGATCAGGGCTGCAGGGGCGTTCTCAACAGAGCGCAGCAGAGGGGCAGAATCACCTTGTCCATGTGGTGTCAGTATGGATTTGAGGGATCTTTCCTGCTGATCCCAAGGAAAATACGGGCTCTCTACCAGGGAGAAGTCTTGGCTGTAACTATTATTCTTATCACAAAAGCTCAGCTCAGGCTCAGCATCTCTTTGCACGGGGTGAAGGAAACACTTCTGCATTGCCTGCCAAAGAGGTTTCAGCCCAAGGGGCTGGCAGGGAAGATGGATGTGGCTTTCAAGATAAAGCAATTGAGGGACCTGGCTCTGCTTGCTGAAGGCAGAGGATATCATCCTGCTGACTCCTGGTGGCCTTTGGCATGGTCCTAGGAAGCTCTGCAGAAGGTAGAAAAGGACACAAACATCAGAGGTTTTCTTCCAAAGTGTTTTAAAACACTTTTTGACTGGTTTTGTAATTAAACCAGTCCATAAAGAAGGAGAGACTTTCAGGTGCTGGATCTCAAGTCTCCTAGGACAGCTTTTCTCCTCCAGTGCCATAGAAAGTGGATTGAGAAGAGGCAAGAAGCCTGCAACAGCCCCTGCATCAGTCACAAACCACTCGAGCATCACCTCTGCCAGCACTTGTGCTGTACAGGCACATCCAGCTACGTGACAGGGAGAGATCTGCAGCGAAGCAGAAGAGGATGGATGAAATAATCCCTCCAGCGAGGCCAGGCTGCAGGAGCCTTGAGGTGGAAGAAATGCTCCATGGTTCTATTTCAGTTATAATTAGAGTACAGAAAAGGGGAGCTTGTGGTTTCTGCAGCTGAGGGGGGAAGCAACACAGCAACACCTTTGCTTTCTTAAATGTCACAAAGGAGGTTGTGCTCCTACAAACAGGGCCGCGGTTACCTGGCTCTGAAGTGATTCATTAATCAAAGAAAGGCAGATCCGGGAGCTGAGGCGCATTCAGGCTGGAAATGAGGTCCATGGTTTTTAACAGAGGTGCTCAGCCACCAGAACAAGCTGCCAAGAGCAGCGCTATCTTTGTATCCAGGGAAAATCAAGAGAAGGAGCCTTTATGAGAAAGCTGCTTTCATCAAAGCAGGAGTGATCTGCTTCCGTGCAGCGGAAATCTATAGCTGAGGTGTGCAGGAGATGGAATTACATGATTTAACAGCCCCTTTTGGCCTTAAAATGTGTCCATCTATGATAGATGATGGAGAAACTCTGCAGGGAAGAGACAGGCTCGTTTCTCACTGAGATATGTAGGACAATCATGGTCACTGGGAGAGGGATACTGCTCTAGCCCCATTTGTGACTGCTCTACCCCAAACTCAGCCTCAGGCAATGCTCCCTCCTCAGCCACATTTTGTGTGATGAGTCTCTGTGGGGGGGGTGCAGATGGAATTAGGGGGTGCAGCCCATCCATGAGCACAGAGTTTGAGGTCATAGAATCATAGAATCAAGCAGGTTGGAAGAGCCCTTTAAGCTCATCCAGTCCAACCATTCCCAGCCCTGCCAAGGCCACCACTGCCCCATGGCACTGAGGCCTCGTCTTCACGGGGTGTGAACCCTTGCAGGGCCGGTGCCTGCAGCCCTGCCCTGGGCAGCCTGTTCCAATGCCTGAGCACCCTCTGGGGCAGGAATTGGTCCTCAGCTCCATCTAAACCTGCCCTGGTGCAGCTTGAGGCCGGTTCCTCTTGTCCCATCCCTTGTTCCTTGGGAGCAGAGCCCAGCCCCTCCTGGCTCCATCCTCCTCTCAGGCAGTTGGAGGCAGCCATCAGGTCCCCCCTGAGCCTTCTCTTCTCCATCTGAACCCCCCAGGTCCCTCAGCCCTTCCCCATCACACTTGGGCTCCAGGCCCTGCACCAGCTCCATTCCCTTCTCTGGCCCCGCTCCATCCCCTCAATGTCTCTCTTGCAGTGAGGGGCCCAGCACTGAGCACAGGATCCAAGCTGCAGCCTCACCAGTGCCCAGTACCAGGCCACCTCCTGTGCTCTTCCCCACTCCCTTCTCTCCTGGCTGGCCCTGGTTTCCCCTTTCTTGGCAGCAGAGCCTCCTGCCTGCTTCCCTGCAGAAGACAGAAGGCAGACAGCGATGTCTTAGTGCTCTCCATCCTGTGCAGCAGCTGCCTGGCAGCTGGATTTCAGGTCAGGATTTAGCTCTGCTGACTGATCACTGCCCTGACTGCTTTTGGCTGGAGCTGTCGGGGTCTGTCATAGACTTTCTGCCTTTATCTCCAGTTCATCTGTGTTCACTGATGTGGCAAGAGTCTGCTGCAAACCAAGCTCATGCATTCGATTCGAGCTCTTCTCTGTCAGGCCTTGTCCTGCTGACACACACCTGACACCCCACATATTCATCTCCATTGTGATCTGCAGCACAGAGCGGTGAGAAGAACAAGGGAGGACAAGGTCTGCCCCAATGAAGAGCATGGATGAACTCAGTGCCACGCACAGAGCTGTGCTATCTCCTCCACTCACTCAGGTATGGAGGGAGCAGAGAGGATCTGCCCCACCTTTGCTCTTTCCTCCACCCTTATCAAGGCCATGGGTCCCAGCTGTGTTCTCATAGAGCTCCCTGGACATGACAGAGCTGCCTATGTGGAAGGGACGTTGTCCTGCCCTTTGAGCCCCAGCCAGGGCCGCCCTGCAGTGACACTGGGTTGGTGACTCCAGGCTCTTCAAGCAAGGAGCTCTGTGGGAGGCTGAGCTGGGTTGAGGCCAGCATTCCTGGACCAGTAAAGCTGGGCTTCTCCTGCCATGAACTCTGAATTCCTGAAGGAAATGCGGAGGTTGATGAGAGGCTGCTGTGACTGGAGGGGGATTGGTTGCTGCTGTGTTTGTGGGAGGAGACCCTGATGGGCACTGCAATTAAGAGCGAGTCATGCTCATGATGACCTCTTGTTCCAGGACCACCCCTTGGATCCTGTGCTCAGCTCTGGGCCCCTCACTGCAAGAGAGACATTGAGGGGCTGGAGCGGGGCCAGAGAAGGGAATGGAGCTGGTGCAGGGCCTGGAGCCCAAGTGTGATGGGGAAGGGCTGAGGGACCTGGGGGGTTCAGATGGAGAAGAGAAGGCTCAGGGGGGACCTGATGGCTGCCTCCAAGTGCCTGAGAGGAGGATGGAGCCAGGAGGGGCTGGGCTCTGCTCCCAAGGAACAAGGGATGGGACAAGAGGAACCGGCCTCAAGCTGCACCAGGGCAGGTTTAGATGGAGCTGAGGACCAATTCCTGCCCCAGAGGGTGCTCAGGCATTGGAACAGGCTGCCCAGGGCAGGGCTGCAGGCACCGGCCCTGCAAGGGTTCACACCCCGTGGGGACGAGGCCTCAGTGCCATGGGGCAGTGGTGGCCTTGGCAGTGCTGGGCAATGGCTGGCCTGGATGAGCTTAAAGGGCTTTCCCAACCTCCCTGATTCCATGATTCAGGTGAAGGAGTGTGGCTGGGACAGGAGGACGCTGTTTGCAATGGGATTTTTGAAGCTAGCTCCACACTGTCAGCTTTGGGGTGCACGGAGCCACCCATCACCCACCCCTGACACCCTGCTCTACCCTTTCCCCCTCCTCTTCCACTAGGCAATGCACACTGCCGATTAGGGATGTCCCCGTTCTTCCTACAGCCTTCCCAGTTCAAATCCCGGGAAGTGCCTCCCTACAGCGGCTGGATCACAGCAGTGGCTCTGAGGTGGGATTCACTGCCCTCAGAGGGAGCGGACTGCGCGGGAATCAGGAGTTCCTCCTCCCCTCACAAGCCAAAAGCGTGCCTGCATGGGAACGGCGCACCCCATGCTCACACCTCCATTGTCACACACACAGCCGACCCCGGGCCATGGTACTGCTGCTGACCGCACGGCAAGGTCCAGCCCTTCCCCTTCAAGGGAAAAAAGGCCCCAAACTCCCTTTGCGGTGCCCATACCAGAGCCAAATCCTCTTTCCCCACTTCGGCCCAGCACACCCAGCCCAGCCCTGCGGCTGTCACCACACAGAAGCAGCCAACAGGGACACTGTGAGCTGCCTGAGGGCTCGTGAACGCAGACACCGAGCCCTGGAGCCTGGTCGGCGCCGGCCCGCCCGCCCTGACAGCCCCCGGGCACCTCCATCCCCGCTGCCTCTCACTGCGCTCCCTCACGGCGCTAACATGGCGGCCGCGATGCCACACTCAACATGGCTGCCGCGCCACACTAAGGGCGAGTCCGGCCAGGCCACACTCAACATGGCTGCCGCGCCGCGCTGGGGTGAGTGGTGGCCAGGCCACACTCAACATGGCCGCCGCGGAGAGCCAATCAGCGTGCGAGGAGCGGGCAGAACGCGGCCCCGGTGTGAGAGGGGCGGTGGGGCTGGGGTGACCGCCATTACCGGTCCCCTCAGGCGCTCCCGCCCGGTCCTTCAGGAGACCGGGCGCTGCCGCTCCCGCGGGTGTCCCAGGGTTATCGCTGCCGCTGGGGGGAACTAGGGAGGGAGTCGCGGAGACCTTGAGGGCCTCGTCCCGGGCGCAGGGATGAGCGCGGCGCTGCCGAAGGTACCTGTGGGCTGCGACCGGCTATGGGGGACCGATACTGGGGCAGGATGGGAGGAGACAGGCCTGGTTCTGGGGACAGGAGGGACAGACCGAGCCCTTGATGCTGAGGAGGGAAAGGCCCGGCCCTGCGGCTGGAGTTGTCACACAATCATGGAATGGTTTGGGTTGAAGGGAGCTTAGAGCTCCTCCAGCTCCAACCCCTGCCACAGGCAGGGTCACCTTCCACTAGAGCAGGTTGCTCCAAGCCCCTGTGTCCAACCTGGCCTTGAGCACTGCCAGGGATGGGGCAGCCACAGCTTCTCTGGGCACCCTGTGTCAGCGCCTCAGGACCCTCGATGTAAAGGAGTTTTTCCTCACATTCAGTCTGAATTTCCCTCTTTTAGTTCAAACCCATCACCCCTCGTCCTATTGCACAAGCCCTGCTAAAAAGTCTTTCTCCATCTTTGTTATTAACCCCTTTTAAGACGTGAAAGGGTTGGAACTCCAAGCCCCCTTCCTCATATGAAGGGAATTGGGGTTTTGTGTCCCCTGGGAGGACACAGGCCTGGCCCTGGGTTAGTGCTCTTGTTGCTTACCCCCGTGTGCCTGGGCCGGGGGCAGAGATTCCCCCCCCATCACTCCTCCTTTCCCCTCAGGTACCCAGGGCCCATCCCTGGTCCTGCCTGGCCCTCTGCTCACAGTGGCAGTAATCCCCCCAGCCTGGCTGGCTTGGTGCTGCTCTACCTGCCGAGGTTGTGGTGACAGCAGAGCTCTGCCTTGCTGATGGATGAGCTCTTTCCTTCCGTCCATGCGGAGCTGGAACAAGCCTGGGGGTTATTTGTGTGGCTGGTGTAACCTGGCGGTGGTGGGATGGTGTGAGGGATGAATGTGGTCTGTAAGCAAGGGGAGGAGAGGCTCCCTCCGCAACGTGTTTGGATCCCATACTAAAGTGAAGGGGGTGCCTGAGAAGGTGAACACAGTCATGGAATCATGGAATCAACTAGAACAGGTTGGAAAAGACAAGTGTCCCATCCCTTGTTCCTTGGGAGCAGAGCCCAGCCCCTCCTGGCTCCATCCTCCTCTCAGGCACTTGGAGGCAGCCATCAGGTCCCCCCTGAGCCTTCTCTTCTCCATCTGAACCCCCCAGGTCCCTCAGCCCTTCCCCATCACACTTGGGCTCCAGGCCCTGCACCAGCTCCATTCCCTTCTCTGGCCCCGCTCCAGCCCCTCAATGTCTCTCTTGCAGTGAGGGGCCCAGAGCTGAACACAGGATCCGAGGTGCGGCCTCACCAGTGCCCAGTGCAGGGGCACAATCCCTGCCCTGGCCCTGATCCGGGCCTGAATGCCATTATCTCTGTGTTACAGCTGTGGTTTTGGGAGCAGTAGTACTGGAGGCTTTGGAGAGATTGGGAGAGTTATTGATACGTTCAGAGGGTCTCCAGTGCCATTTCAATGGGTGTGTTCTGGGAAGCGTTGGTGATAACTCACTGGGTATCTGCTGTGCTGTTTGCACTCTAACAGGCTGCCCAAGGAACCTGTGGCTGCCCCATCCCTGGCAGTGTTCAATGCCAGGCTGGACACAGGGGCTTGGAGCAAGCTGCTCCAGTGGAAGGGGTCCCTGCCTGTGGCAGGGGTTGGAGCTGGAGGAGCTTTAAGGTCCCTTCCAACCCAAACCAGGCTGGGATTCTATGATTTTAACCATGGGGCTCATTGCAGGTGCTGTGCTTGAAGAAGGCAGCGTTGCTAAAGCAAGTGTTTGCTCTCAGCAGGTGAGTGATCTGAAATGAAACCTATCAAGTAAAACACAGTGTAAGGCATTAAAACACTCAGTCACTTCCATGGCATTGCCAGAAAACACACATGATCAGAAAAGTACTTTTTTGCCAAGGAGAATATTATAGTTATGGAGGGAGGACTTTGAGCCGATGTCTGGGACTGTGCAGAATAGCAAGTCCTGTTGCTAATGGGATCTCTCTGTGTCTGAGGGAGGACTAGGGGTGGAAGCCTTTGTTCAGGGATTGGCCAGATGTGTTGTGTTTCCACATCTGCTAGCTGAAAGCAGAGCTTTTAATTATTATCTTCTTTCCTACAGAGCAGCAACACCCAGAGGAAGCCAACTGTGTGCTGCAGGTAAGGCCTTTTATTAATCCAACACAAGGAAAAGCCTCATTTACCCAAGATAATTATGACACATTAGAGAGTTTGTGTCCCCTTTTGATATTTTTAAGCTAATTTTGCACTGAGTGTCTGCTCTTCCACTTCCATACCTGTTTTCCTAACCTTCTGTTTCCCTGTTCTTGGCTAAGCAGGGTCCTAGTCATGGTGTTACACTGTATATAGAGTGACACCAGGCAGATGCTTTTTCACTATATTACTACTCAGGAACTGACTTAGACCCTCGTGACTGTAACATTTATTGAGCTGGTGGAGTTTGCTGTCACAATTTAAAGTAGAATTTGTTTTTGATGCAGAGGCAAAGAGTAACTGAGGGGCTTAAATCCTTGGTGTTCGGTTTCTCTTTGCTGTTCTGAGCTGCTTTTATTAAAATGAGGGTTATTGAGGGTCTCATTTTACCCTGGAGAAGGAAGGATAAATAAAAGCTGATGCAGTTCTGATTTGGCTTCCTAGCACATGTATATTTGAACAGGACTGGATGGAAAATGAAGTGAGGCTCAGATCCATCGTGGTGGCAGCACTGCTGCCATGGAAGAGGAGACAGATGCAACATTTCATCAGCATACTCCCCATCCACTGGTGCTGACAAGTCTTTTATTTGCCTGAGAATTCACCTGGGAAATGAATCACTTTTAATCTCTTCCTTATTTGTTTCTCACTGTAACCAACTGTGAATTGTAACAGACTTGTGTGGGGCAGAGATCACCTGGAGCTTTAGCTTGGCTTTGCCTTTGTCAAGGAACTGAGAATGAATTCTAGCCCCCAGTGAGGATTTGGGGCTCTCAAAGCACTTGTATATGTTAACAGAAGAGCTGGAAACATGTTTGTTCTGCTTTGGGTTTAAGGTGATGCACTCCTGAGTTGCCACAGACACTACAGGTCCAATCCTACACATGGCATTGGGAGGTTCAAATACCTGCTCCCAAAAGAGGTAGGTATAAAACTCCCCAGCAGTGCTTGCTTCCAGCTGAGGCATCCTGATAGAGGCTGATTTAAGTGTTGGGATTATTAATTCCATGGCTGATGAATCATATGGAAAAGGAATAATGTAATTGTTTACTGCTTCTTGGTAAAGAGTCTTTTGTCACACCAACTCACAACACTGCATAAATCCTTCCCAGTACAGAAATACCTTGTCCAGTACCTTCTTACTTAAGTTAATGAATAGTCTGGGAGGGAGGAATCTCTTCCTGATGCTGATTTTACACACACACCCCACACCCCCCCTTCAGGTAATTGCAGAACATTGTCAGCAGGTTTTGTGTGCATTTAAACTTTCTACATTCCCTCAAGTTTGGAAAGATGACAGTTTTTATGGAAGGAGGAACCAACAACTCCTCTAAAACAGCTGCCTTGAAGGCAGGAGCTGAAATAAAAAGCAGTTTTTCTCCTCCCTTTTTGTCTTCTGGAAGAAATGAATCATGGTGTGCATGTATTTTCTGTGTGACTTCTGTAGCTCTGCCATCCAAAAACTGAACTGTTCAACTTGAGAACATCTGTTCACAGAATGTCATCCCAGTTTCGTAGTCAGGGAGAGTGAGCACAGATGGGCTGTGAGATACTCAACACAGCTCAGCAAACCTTTGTCGGAAGAGAGAGCTGTAGATGGTCTCCTGTGTGGGCAAGAGGTAATGGGTTTATTTCCAGCCTTGTTCCAAACAGATCTGCTTTCTGTGTTCTCTTTATTAAATACAGGTTCCAAAGAAGAAAAAGGACAAAGTACATATGAAAGAGATAAATACTGGGACAGATTATGAGTATGGAGATATCAACATCCAGATGACTTCCTATGATATGTGTCTTGTGGAGCATTTTGCTCAGTACGTGCATAAGCTCTGCAACAGACTCTCCATTAGAGTCAATGAAAGGTACGAGGAGCTGTGCTGTCATTCCTCACTATCTCATTGTGTTAGGCCAGGTCAGGCTCCTACATGATGATACCTTGAGATAAGGACACAATCTCTGATAGATTCCCACATCTGAATCTTCTGCCATCTGCCTGGCATTCTCTTTACTTGTATCTGTATTATTTGGGATGCTTTATTCATAGAATCACAGCAGGGTTTGGGTTGGAAGGGACCTTAAAGCTCATCCAGTTCCAACCTGTCTGGACACCTTTCTCTAGACCAGGTTGCTCCAAGCTGTATTCGTATAAGGAAGGCCGAAATGGAGTTGTTCAGGCACTGATTCCAAGGGAAAAAGAGCTGATACTTCTCATTCCTTTGAGAAAGAGGAACGTCCTTGACAGGCCAAAGGCAAATGGCTTGAACGTGCCCGAGGGGAGACTGAGCTGAGCTCTTAGGCAGAAGCTCTTCCCTGTGAGGGTGCTGAGGCGCTGGCACAGGGTGCCCAGAGAAGCTGTGGCTGCCCCATCCCTGGCAGCGTTCAAGGCCAGGTTGGACATTGATTGAGTCCAACTTCAGGGGATGAGCTTTAAGCTCCCTTCAACCCAAACCACTCTGGGATTCTATGGAAAAGGCTTAAGCCTGTGGGTGCTGAGCCTGGGAATGTGGGCTCAAGTACTGCTAACTTATGGTGCTGGTTTTTATAGGCCATGTGCATATATTGTGCTCATTGCAAGTGATTATACAAACTGGAATGAACTTAGGAAACCTCTGAAGGCTGTGGGAGAGCTACACACTACTTAAGTAGTAGGGGATGCTTCAGTTGCATACTCAAAGCAGATGTATCCTGAAGCAGCTTTGCTGGTTTTAATGACTCTGAGGGATGTGAGACAGGTCCTTGGTACCTGCAGTGCACCCAAGGAGCTGCAGTCACTTGGAGAAGCACTGCATTGGTGTAAGTAAAACCACTTAGTGGTGCTTCTCTGAAAGTGTATCTTTAACTTACCTTGAAGCTTTATTACCTTTTATCGTATTTGGAACCTCTGAGGTTGGACTTTGTGTGCAGAGTTCAGTATGTGCAGAAAGAAATTATTTCCCCTTAGAGAGCAAAGCTTGTAGGGTAAAAGATGGGCAGTAGGATGTAGCCTGTTGTTACTGATGCTGTGCAAGTGGAGAAGGGGAGTTGAGGTCTCTGGGGGAACGCTAACTGCAGAATGGGATCTGATCCAGTGCCTCGTCGTACTCCTGTTGAATTCAGAGGTGGAAATAAGGTCTTTGGAGTGGTGCCTGCCAGCTTTTGCCTCTGTTCCTGATGAACAGATTACAGAATCAATCAGAACTGTGGCTTTAGAGCTTTCTTTTAACTCTAAAAGTTGCAAGTGCTCTTCCCAGGCTGGTGTTTGTAGCTGAAACAGCTTTCTGCTGGCAGCAGAGCTGCAAGCTTCTCCCTATCTCTTCCCAGTAAAGCACCCAGCTTCTGCCAATGCTTGAGTTGTTGGATACATAGTTTGCATAATTAATTCCTCATGAAAAGTTAATCTCCTTCCACATTCTCTGCTGCTGGAGGTTGATTCCTTCCTGTAAAGCAGGAATCTCCCCCCCTGGCCAAAGCACTGACCTGTGGTTCCTGCAGCTACGCGATGCCCACCAAAACCGAGGAAGTGCTGTTCGTGGAAGAGAAAGGTTCTAAACCGCAGCTGGATGCTGTCCTTACAACCCATCAGAGGGTTATCCAGGTAGGAGTTTGCTCCTCATATTGTGGCTCTTGTGCAGTGCTTCCTATCACAGGCTGCCCCTCAAAACCCCTTAACTCCTGGAGTTAAGTCCCTGGAACAAATGAAAGGTGTAATCTGTGTGTAAATTGAAGCATGGAGCAGTCTAATTGGATTTCTTGCTAAAGGTTTCTCACAAAGCAGAAGAGGGGTTCCTGGATTATGTATTTCAGACCGAAGATTTATCAATTGTTTTATGCAGAATACTTAAGGCAAGGGGTAAGAAAGTCACATTTGGTCTTTAAGGATGCTGGAGAGGGGCTCTTCGTCAGGGACTGTAGGGATAGGACAAGGGGTGATGGGTTCAAACTGAAACAGGGGAAGTTCAGGTTGGAGATAAGGCAGAAGCTCTTCCCTGTGAGGGTGCTGAGGCGCTGGCACAGGGTGCCCAGAGAAGCTGTGGCTGCCCCATCCCTGGCAGTGTTCAAGGCCAGGTTGGACACAGGGGCTTGGAGCAAGCTGCTCCAGTGGAAGGGGTCCCTGCCCGTGGCAGGGGTTGGGACTGGAGGAGCTTTAAGGTCCCTTCAACCCAAACCAATCTGTGATTCTATAAAGGATGATTAGGCAAACTCAGTGAAATCTAAAAATACTGTTAGTATCAGGGCCAGTTTCAAACATGTACAACTGGTTGAGGTAAATAGTTCTTTCTCCTCAGTGATTTTTCTTTGCTAAACCTCTGCTGAATTACATTTTAAACCCAAGGGTGGACTTTATTACCTGGAGATAGCTGATGTGTGATTAATACTGGGGCTTGCAGGTTTGCAGTGGCAACCTTTTATTAGACTCTCATCTAAATGGAGATCCTCATGCATGACTGAATCCCTTTCCATGCAGGAGAGCAGTCAGGAAGAACAGGAGAGCAGTCAGGAAGCAGTGTTCATAAAGAAGAGCCAAAATGAGAGCTTTGGGCTGTGCTGTATGCAGAAGGTGTGAGCACAAAGCAGAGAGTGCTTCTCTGAAGTGCTTGACTGCCACAGGCTTATACTGAAAGGAACACTCTTTCTTTCTATGCCATTAGTATAATGAGTCCATTTGGGATGTGGGGTTCTGCTCCTGCAGCACTTCTATTTCATCTTTCAGATCAGCCATTTGAGCTCAACGTTTGCTCCAATCCTCTTGGAAATCATTCAGAGTAACCAGCCTGAAGGGGTCCATCTGTTAGTGAAAGAGGTACGTTTGATTTTACCAGTGATGGGCACTCAGGAAGCAGGTAGGATGTGACATGAATTTGCTTGGAGAAGACAGACCTGGTCCTGAGGCTGCTGCCTGCTCTGGACTTATGGATACCCAGGATCACCCAGAACCAGCTTCTCACTTGGTCTATGGAAAACCATTACCTCTAATTCTTGATGAGTGTTCCATACGCCATTTAGCATCCCCTGGATGCATCCCTACCGACAGAGTTGTGTGGTGCAGTGACATGCTGGAGGGAGGGGATGGGATCCAGAGGGACCTGGGCAGGCTGGAGAGGTGGGACGGTGTGAACCTCATGGAGTTCAACAAGGCCAAGGGCAAGGTCCTGCCCCTGGGTCAGGGCAATCCCAGCACAAACACAGGCTGAAAGAGCTGGGCTGGTTCAGCCTGGAGAAGAGAAGGCTCCTGAAGGGGAGAGCTTAGAGCAGCTCCAGTGCCTAAAGGGGCTGCAGGAAAGCTGGAGAGGGGCTTGGGACAAGGGCCTGTAGGGCCAGGCCAAGGGGAATGGCTTGAACCTGCCCGAGGGGAGACTGAGCTGAGCTCTTAGGCAGAAGCTCTTCCCTGTGAGGGTGCTGAGGCACTGGCCAAAAGACCTCAGGCCTTCAGGCCAGAGCTCAGGACTTGAGGGCAGAACTCCACCCACTGGTGGACCAGGCATAAGGAGATCCTTAAACTCATTTTACATTCAGACAAAACATTCCCAGGAAGCCCTTCTTCTTCAGGAACTAAAAGACTCCGATGGCTGGCAAGGGAATGCAGCACAACTAAATTTAAACATGAAAGCACAGTTGGCTTCTTAAGTGGCCTTTGAAGAGTATTTACTTATCTCCAGCTCTGCAAACCCAGAAGGAAGATGGGAGAAGGTCTCTTGAGCTCAGTAATCTCTGCTTTGGTCACGGTCCCATTTCTGGGTTTAATTTTGCCTGATGGATTGGCCCTGGAGGGACAACGATGACATTGAGCCACTTGCAAAGTCATTGTGGTCCACTGCAGGAAGCCCAGGGGAGAGACCCAAGTGGCTTCATGCCACTGGTGGTACAAGAGATGACAGCTTTGGGATGCTCCTGAGAAGATCTGGAGAAAGTCCTGATCTCCTTAAGAACTTAGATGCTACCGTGATGGGCAGTGGCAGAGATGGAGGCATCCAGTTGACTTCTTGAGCCCAGTGCCATCACTCACACTGACAAAAGCAGTTAGCCAGGAGAGGAAGAGCTTACAAAGATGAATTTCAGAGCAGCCCATGCCAGCACCAAGCGTTCAGAACCATTGTGGCCTCTGCTTTCCCCCAGAACCTGCTCCTGATGCAGGCTGGATGTAAGAGAGGAGTTGCAACCAGCTTCCACATGGAAGCTGCCTACAAGATCCTACTCAGTGGGGACTCTGCTTGGGCTCCTTAGGTTCAGCAGACAATCAGTTTTTGGGAGAGCGTTCATCTTCTTCCATTTCAGGCAGTTCTCAAGGTGGTTCTGATTTGCTTGGTTTGTTCTATCCTCTACAGCACACAGAAGCTGACTTCAAGAGCCGATTGAAGGCTCGACCAGAACTTGAAGAGCTGAAGGCACAGATGAGCTGAGATGAAGATGAACTCTCCATCCACTTTGGAGCCACTCCTGGGAAAATGACCTTCCCCACATGGTTGTTAGGCCTCCAGAAGGTGGTTTCATGAGCATTGTACCAATAATGTGGTGAGTGGGAAGAAAATTCCCTGTTAAGGAGCTTGTCTTAATAAATACATGTGTTTAACTGACCCTTTAGAATGAGGCCATGGAGCTGCTTGAGGGCTGGAGCAGCTCTGCTCTGGAACCAGGCTGAGAGAGCTGGGCTGGGTCAGCCTGGAGAAGAGAAGGCTCCTGAAGGGGAGACCTTAGAGCAGCTTCAGTGCCTAAAGGGGCTGCAGGAAAGCTGGAGAGGGGCTTGGGACAAGGGCCTGTAGGGCCAGGCCAAGGGGAATGGCTTGAACCTGCCCGAGGGGAGACTGAGCTGAGCTCTTAGGCAGAAGCTCTTCCCTGTGAGGGTGCTGAGGCCCTGGCACAGGGTGCCCAGAGAAGCTGTGGCTGCCCCATCCCTGGCAGTGCTCAAGGCCAGGTTGGACACAGGGGCTTGGAGCAAGCTGCTCCAGTGGAAGGGGTCCCTGCCCATGGCAGGGGTTGGAGCTGGAGGAGCTTTGAGGTCCCTTCAACCCAGGCTACTCAGCAATTCCAAGATTTTGGGGTGGAAATCCCCATCTCACCCCACAACCATCCCCTTGAGCTTCCAGTTACCCCAGTGACAGAGACAGGAGACAAAGGTGCTTCAGGCAGGGTGATGGATACCACTGGATTTAATCTCCCAACAGCACAGTGTGGATTTAACAGCCACCCAATGGACCAAAAAACCACCACAAAAAAGGGGGTGACATGGCACAGCCACCCTATTCCTGGCGGTATTCCCAGTCTGGGATCAGGCTTCCAGGGGGATTTCACTCTCCAGTAGGAGCTGGGTGGCCGTGGCTCGAGCTGGGTGCCCTCTGTACCTCCCTGTCCTGCTTCCTGTGGGCCATGCAGTCTCTGAACGCCCTGACCTGGGGCTGGCAGTGCCGCCAGTCCTGCTGCTCAGCCATGCAGTGCTGCAGCGCCCGGTGCTGGGCCATGCAGCCTGTCCTGGAGACCATGGCGTCCACTGGGTCCTCCTCATCCTCCTCTTCCTCCGGTGACACACGTCTCCTGCCATGTCCTGGCCTCGCCATCGCTGCAGGGAGGGAGGTGCCAGGAGTTGGGTGCTGCCTTCCTGTCAATAGGGGGAACACTCCACGGTGCCCAGCACCCTTTGTCCCACACCCCTATGGTGCTCAGCACCCTCCATGCTCACATGGTGCCCCAAAAGGGTCCATATCCCTCTCTGGGAAGAGCTCAGCACCCCTTCATGCAGCACATACACCTCCATGCCTCCTCCCATAGGTGCCCAGCACCCCCATGCACCTTACCCACACCCACGGGTGACCAGCGCTCTCTCCAACCCATGGCTGTTTGCCTCACACCCCTCCATGGGTGCTCAAGAGCACCCCCATCATCCCCATGCACCCCCTCACAAGAGCTCAGTACCTCCCCCATGCATCCTACCTCCACCCATGGGTGCCCATCACCGTCCATGCACCCACCCAGCACTCATGGGTGCCTAGCACTCCACGCACCCTCCCCCCACACAGCACCCTCCCCAACCCATAGCTGTCCACTCCCCATCCTAGAGCACCCACATTACCCCCATGCACTCTACTATGGGTGCTCAGACATGTCCCCCATGTACCTTACCCCCACCCATGGGTGTCCAGGACCCTCCCCAGTCCATACCCCCACCTCCATGGGTGCTCAGCGCCTCCCCCATGCACCTTACCCACCCCCACGGGTGCACAGCACCCTCTCCAACCCATGGCTGTCCACCCCCATACCCCACCATAGGTGCTCAGAGCCTGTTCCCCATGCACCCTACCCCCACCCATGGGTGCCCAGCACCCCATGGTCCCGGCTCCCCCGTACCCTCCCTGCAGCGCGGCGCGGCTCCTTTAAGGCTGGTGTCGGGGAAGGCACTGCCGGGGCGCGACGTGACGTAGCGGCGTGCGTGCCCGCTCATTGGACAGCGCCTTCCCCTTCCGCCCCGGCGGGCTGTTGGGAAGGAAGGAGGCGGAAGCGGGCTCTCGGCAAGATGGCGGCGACGCTGCGTATTCAGAGTGACTGGAGCCGGGCGCTGAGGTGAGCGCGGACTCCGGGGCCCTTCCCGTATCCCGGTGCCTTTTACCCGTCCCGCACTCATTGCTGCTCTTTTTGTGCGCAGGAGGGACGAGGGCGAGGCCTGGCTGAGCTGCCGGAGCCCTGGTGAGCGGCCGGAGGAGACCTCAGGGGGCGGTGGGATGATGGGGTGCCGTGCGGCTGGAGGGAGCCCTGCGGGGTAGGAGGGAGGGAGGGCAGTTGGGGGTGCCCTGTGAGTGGGGTGAGAGCAGTAACGAGGTGCTCTGTAGGTTGGGAGAAGGGTAAGGGCTGTTGTGGGGTGCACTGTGAGTTAAGAGGGGGTTGCAGGAGGTTGGGGAGTGCCTATTGGTTCATGTGGGAGTAAGGATGGTTGGCAAAATGACCTAAACGTTATGAGGGGAGTGAGGGTGGTTGGGGGGTGCCCTTTGGGTTAAGAGAATGGTGAAGGTGATTGAGGGGTACCCTGTGGGTTAGGAGTTGGGGTGAGGGTCTGAGTGTGGCTGTGGCCTGTGCTATGAGGGGGGTCAGGGCAGTTTTGGGATGCCCTGTGTATTAGGAGAGGGTGAGGGAAAGGAAAGTTGAGGGGTGCTCAGGCTGATGGCTGCTCTCCCCCCAGGGAAGCCGACCCTGTACGGCAGCGTGACCCGCAGGGGACTCAGCACCGAGGGTGTTCCCGACATCGCTGCCTCCGAGGGCTTCGTGGTTGGGGAAGTCACCAAGGTGCCAGGGCTGGGCTGGGCTGGGTGGGTCAGTAACTGCCTTCTGTGCACAAAGGGGCAGTGGAATCATAGAATCTCAAACTGGTTTGGGTTGAAGGGACCTTAAAGCTCCTCCAGCTCCAACCCCTGCCACGGGCAGGGACCCCTTCCACTGGAGCAGCTTGCTCCAAGCCCCTGTGTCCAACCTGGCCTTGAGCACTGCCAGGGATGGGGCAGCCACAGCTTCTCTGGGCACCCTGTGCCAGCGCCTCAGCACCCTCACAGGGAAGAGCTTCTGCCTAAGAGCTCAGCTCAGTCTCCCCTCGGGCAGGTTCAAGCCATTCCCCTTGCCCTGTCCCTACAGGCCCTTGTCCCAAGCCCCTCTCCAGCTTTCCTGCAGCCCCTTTAGGCACTGGAGCTGCTCTCAGGTCTCCCCTTCACACAGCAGAGGGGCAGGATCCCCTCCCTGAGCTGCTGCTCATGCTCTGGGGGTGCAGCCCAGCACACAGGGTTCTGGGCTCAAGCACTCACTGAAGCTTGGTCATGGGGAGCTGCTCCTCACCCAACACCCCAAGCCCTTCTCAGGACTGCTCTAATCACTTCTCCACCCAACCTATAGCTGTGCTTTTGCAGCACTCAACAGCTTGAAGCTGTTGCCCAGTCCCTTGCGTGGTGCTATCCAGCTATCCCAGGCCTCCTGCCTGTGCTGTGCCCAGAGCTGGTCTGGAGCATCCCATACTTGTGCTGGGGCTGTGTGACCATTCAGTGCCACCCAGAGCTTGCAGCTGGAGGAGGCATAAGGAGATGAGCCCAGTACTGCATGTCCTTTTGGTCTTCAGGCTGTAGTTCTGCCTTGTCAGTGGCTGTGTTTCGATAGGACTAACAGCACTTCTAATTCTTCTTCCCCTCTTTTTCCTCCTCTAGAAGAGCATTCTCATTTCTTGTCCTCATGAAAATGTGTCCACCAAGTTCCTGGCCCCGTACACAACTTTTGGTAGAATCCACCAGAAAAGTGTGAGTAACTTTGCCAAGTCAGTGGGAAATAGCTGGGAGTGACACTGACCTTTCACAGTGTGTGTCTGAATGGCGTGTGCTCCTTTTGAGGGGTGGTCTGCAGCCTGACTTTGTGTGTGAAGCAGGTAACAGAGCATAGCAGATCGTAGAAACTTGGGAAACTTGATCATGGTTGAGTTGAATCCCTAAAAATAATCTCTTATGTCTTTTAGACTGTTTTTCCCCCCTTAGTAATGTAATTTCTGCTCACTTCAGGCCCTTGACAACCCCCCTGTAAAGGGATATGTGAGTGAGTGTGTCAAAACCCATGATAATACAAGGTTCCAGGTGCTGAGCTCTTCATCTGACTGGTTGACCTCAATCCCTGTTTGCAGCAGCTCTTTGCTCCTCTTAATCAAGTTTTCCATCTTTGCTGTATGAATTGGTGTTTGTGGGGCTGGGAATTGCATGTTGCATAAGCTCAGCTTGTCCTGGTGGGAATTCAGAGACAAGAAAGGCTCAGCTTGTATTTAAAACTCTATAAATTGCATAAACATCTCACTTATTTAAAAGCAGCCTTGCTCCTTTGGCTGAATAATCTTCTTTCTTATCATGCCCCCATCAACCTGGGGGTGCCATAAGCACAGCCATGTGCTGAGCAGTGATATACAAAGCCTGACTGACCTGAGACTTCATTTCTTCACTGAGGAGAAGCTCATGACTTGGCTTTGTAGTTTGTGCTTCTGCTGAACACTTAATCCTGTGTGGAAGTGATCCAAGAAACAGGGGAGTGTGTATCCTGCAGTACAGCAGTTGCCCTGCAGGGAGTCTCTGAAGCCACTGGAGATGTTACAGGACACTTATCTCCTGATTTATGGAGTAAATGGTTGTGATAAACCCAGCCTAAAATGCTGCACAGTCAGTCTGAATTAGCTCAAAAGCAGTATAAATCAGGTGCCTTTGACACAAAGGCAACTCTACAGCTGTTTTTAAGAGGAAGCAGAGCTCTGCTGAGAGATGGAGCCTGGCACTAAAAGGTGAATCACTTCCCTGAGCTTTGTGCTGCTGGAGAGTCCCCAGCTGCCCTTTTGAGTGAGAAATGGAATCAGCATTCAGAGCACAGCAAAATGGAAATGCAGGTGGAAGTGTTCAGTCTGCTGTCAAAGGGGGTGATAGGTTCCAGGTGCACTGCAGAGATCTCTGGAAAGCAGCTGAAGCAAGAGCTGTTAGTATGGAGATGAGTTTAAAGCTGGTGTGGACTGTGCTCCGGTTCTCCTTTATACCTGCTGCCTCTTCTGAGCACTCCTGCTTTGCCTGATTCCATATTCCAAGTCCTTCCTGAAACTCTGGGCATGTGGCAAACATCAGAGGGGGTTTTAATTTGTGCTTCAATGACTTTCTCAGGCTTTTTGGCTTTTTCAACCAGAGAGTAAATGACCACACATTGGTTTGTTACAGGAGCTGCGACTTATGTTACCAATGTACTTAATGGCTGTTGTAATGGATTAACCATTACCTTGTGCTCTTAATTGAATCCCAGACTGGTTTGGGTTGGAAGGGACCTTAAAGCCCATCCAGCTCCAACCCCTGCCATGGGCAGGGACCCCTGCTCCAAGCCCCTGTGTCCAACCTGGCCTTGAGCACTGCCAGGGATGGGGCAGCCACAGCTTCTCTGGGCACCCTGTGCCAGCGCCTCAGCACCCTCACAGGGAAGAGCTTCTGCCTAAGAGCTCAGCTCAGTCTCCCCTCGGGCAGGTTCAAGCCATTCCCCTTGGCCTGGCCCTACAGGCCCTTGTCCCAAGCCCCTCTCCAGCTTTCCTGCAGCCCCTTTAGGCACTGGAGCTGCTCTAAGGTCTCCCCTTGAGGAGCCTTCTCTTCTCCAGGCTGCCCCAGCCCAGCTCTCTCAGCCTGGCTCCAGAGCAGAGCTGCTCCAGCCCTTGCAGCAGCTCCGTGGCCTCCCCTGGACTTGCTCCAACAGCTCCATGTCCAGGCTAAAACTGCTTAGCTAGGGGTATGGAATCTCTTTAGGGTGTTCTAAATGAGTTCAGCTGTATGTTTTGGGGAGATAATGGCACTGAATTACTTCGCAAGACTCCTCTAGTACAGAGTTAGACTCTGGAGCAGAAATATCTTTGTACAGGGTGATACAAAGCTGATGTTTGGTGTTTTTTACCCTCCTGCAGGTCACCTGTCTTGATATCTCCAGTGGTGGGGGGCTTGGTGTGTCTACCAGCACAGATGGGACCATGAAAATATGGCAGGCTGCGAATGGAGAAATAAGAGTAAGAGCATCTAGCTTTGTTCTGAGTTGCCTGTGACATTATTAAAGTCATTTGGCCTTGACTTTGGTCAGGTTGTCCACGTGTTGAGGTCTAGGGCAGCCAAGAGTCATAGAACGGTTTGGGTTGGAAGGGACCTTAAAGCTCGTCCAGTTCCAATCCCATGCTATGGGCTGTGACACCTTCCACTAGAGCAGCTTGCTCCAAGCCCCTGTGTCCAACGTGGCCTTGAACACTGAGATCTCATTTAAATCTACAGTCTGGCTTTTGAATGAAAAGCTAATTCAAATTTGACATCTCTGAGGTTTTAATCAAATCTCTTGGAAAGCATGGCTTCTCCCAAGGGAAATGATGCTCAGCAATCCAGAGAGGAGTCTCAGCGTGAGAATAAGGATGGGTCCTTAGGGATGACAGCTAGAATGTGGAAGATAACTGCCAGCTTCTAACCTGTGTGCTACAAGCACTGAATGTCTTCTGCAGTAGAGAAGAGGTGAGGAGAAGACTCCTGGCTCTGGTGGATTAACCACATCATGGCCTGTTGCCTTCCCAGTTAACGTTTCATGGGGAGCTTGACCTATCAGCTGCTTGCTTGGTAGAGGATAATGACATTTAACTTCAGGCTGGAAACAAATGTAGTGTTCTTTACTGTACAATCAGCTACTCAAATGGTAGAGGGACACCCAAAGTGTGCCTGCTGCCTCTTGGACTGCCTCAAGTGCAGACAAGTCCATTCCAGCCATACACACCCAGAGGATTTGAGCTTAATTCTCTGCCCACATGGGAGCACCAAGTTTTCCAGTGTCATAGCTCAAAAACTGCTTGGCATAAGGATGATAACAATGGAACTAGCACCTAGTTCTTTGTTTTTCCAGAGACTATTGGAAGGCCATGTGTATGATGTGAATTGTTGCAGGTTTTTCC